GGCGCCTGCCAGGTCGCCCGGCTAGTTTTTTGTATTTTTTAGTAGAGACGGGGTTTCACCGTGTTAGCCAGGATGGTCTTGATCTCCTGATCTTGTGATCCGCCCGTCTCGGCCTCCCAAAGTGCTGGGATTACAGGCTTGAGCCACCGCGCCAGGCCAATTTTTTGTTAATTAGCTGTAGGCACCTATAGCCCCAGCTATTTGGAAGGCTGAGAAGGGAGAATAGCTTGAACCCAGGAGTTTGAGGGTGCAGTGAGCTGTGATCATGCTACTGCACTCCAGCTGTGAGACAGGGCAAGAGCTCATTTCCAAAAATTTTTTTAAAAATAATTTTTAAAAAGAGACTTCAAATCCCAAATGGCAGTGAAAGGCTTAACTTTATGATATGCTATCAATCATCCACATGCAACTGCCTGGACACACAAAATGAGTACACAGACATGAGAATCAAGTAAAAAATTTAAGCTACTCCTCAAACTTGGATAGTTTTTACTCATAGACTAGAATTTGTAGGACTATAATTTTCAATTACATACACACATAACATCTTCTACAAGCCACAGAACCTAAATTATGTGAAAAAAATTAAATATTTCAATATGCCACAGAATTGTGCAATCAGCACTACGAGCAATGGGACATCAGCAGTGATCTGGGTGACTATCACTATTGATCACACTTTCAGAGACATGTGCAACAAGAGAACCAGAGTAGCCGGAACACCATTGGGTAAACTAAGCACTTAAATTATTCCCTCTCATCCTCAAAAAATATTAATTACAAAAATAAAAACAGGCCAGGAGTGGTGGCTCATGCTTGTAAAGGAATTTGGGAGGCTGAGGTGGGAAGACGGCTTGAGGCCAGGAGTTTAAGACCTAGGCAACATAGCAAGACCCCATCTCTACCAAAAAAAATTTTTTTTTTTTGTTTTGAGATAAGGTCTTGCTCCATAGCCCAGGCTGGAGTACAGTGGGGCAATCTCAGCTCACTGCAACCTCTGCTCCCAGGCCCAAGTGATCCTCCCACCTCAGCCTCCTGAATAGCTGGGACTACAGGCACATGCTACCATGCTCTGCTAATTTTTGTATTTAAAATATAATTTTAAAAATATAAATAAAAACAATGCTAGTTTGCATCTGGCCTCAAAGAAAAAAAAAACTGTATATGATTCCTTCTCCTTTACTCTTGACCAAGCTGCTTTTCTGTCCAGTTTCTTTGGCCAGGTTCCTGAACCACTTAAAACACCAGAGTTCCTTTATGTGTAGTCAAGCCAACCAAAAGAGCCACAACCTTTTTTTGCCCAGCCCCAGAAAGTAAATGGTGTTAACATATTTTTCAGTGAGTGTAGAAGGGAGAAAACAAACTCTGTCTTCTATGAACATCTAAATTTTTGTGGATTATTTTCCTCTTTGATCCGTCTTCTCTTTAACCCTTTCATACTGTTTCAGCTCTCTTCCTTCTCTTATTTATTCCTTCATCTCTGTCCCAAGTTCTTTTTGCTCTTACTCTTCTCAGTCTTAAAGGCCAGATCAATACCCTTTCAATTCATTTCCAATAGGAAAGAAAATGTATCAGGGACTAGGAAATCTAACTCACACCAATAGCAGCAGCTGCTACTATCACCAACAATAAACAAAATCAACAAGTATCCAAGCAATTATTCAATACCTACTGTAGATGAAATTGTGTGACAAGAATGATGGAGGAGATAAGGTACAAGAGAGTTACTGCTCTCCAAGAACTGACAATCTAGTTGGAGAGATCATGCCAAAATGTGTGAACAGTTAAAACGTAAAGCAGTGAGAAGACTGCAGTACATAATCTAAAAAAATAAACGAGCTGTATTGTTTGGACACAGATCAAAGGCAGGCATGGCCACTGTGCTCTAGGGGCTCTCAAGGAAACTGACTCAGAGAAAGCACGAGCTAGACTCTGAGGACCCCTAAGGGCAGTAAGAGATGAGGTGGTGAAGGGAAAGCTTTCCAGGAGGCTGACCATGTATAAGAAGGAAGAATATAAAACAGTAAATTTTATGTTACATATATTTTACCACAATTAAAAAAAAAAAAAAAAGGAAGGAAGGAAGGAAGGAAGGAAGGGAGGGAGGGAGGGAGGGAGGGACAGGTGCTTGGGCCCCTCAGCTGTCTCTAGCAAGGCAGAAAAAGCCAATACAGAGGGCTTGACAATCTGAGAATTTCTGTGTATAGACAGGAACATCCTTGTGAACTTGGTCAACTGACACTGTCCAAAGCATAGTCACACACTACATAATTCCTAATATTATTTTTTCTAACCTAACATTATGAACATATCCTTTTCTTATTTTAAATACCAACATTGTATATAACCTGACAGTATGACTAAAGCAAAAGAAACTATTGATCAACAAGAGAGAGGTGTGCATGGTAAGGAAGAAATACCCGATTATTGTTTTCTATCAGGGAAATGCCCTCTGGAGGCAGGGGTCCAGCAGCTTTGCTATAGCCATAGTGCAGAAATCCCACACCCAGAGGATCCATAGGTCCCCATTCTTCAGAGTTTTCTGCCCAGCACAAGAGAGGAAGTCTACAATCACTTCTAGAAATGAATCACAAAAAAAAAAAAAAAAAAACCTTAGCTTTCAGCTTCCAGCCAGTTGCTAATAAAGATCTGAGTATCTAAATCCAAGATATTAACCTTTGCCAACCATCTGGGGGGAAAAAAATCCCTAAACTAGTAGATAAAGCAAATTTTATAGAAATCATACAAGGCACACCTTAGTTACTTCTGTTTAAGTACCAATAAAATTTATTTGGTTGACATCATGCCAAGGTGCCCTTTTGACCTCAAATTTAATCAGAAACAAAATTCATATAAGAATTCATGAAAAAAGATTAGCAAAAACACTGAAGTAAGAGAAATATTTCTAATTTCCCATAATGGCCAGTGTTAGAGAGGGAAACATGCTTGCTGGGAAACTGTCAAAATGATCATAAAAAATATAAATAATGAGGATAATAACTGGCCTAAGGTGCAAGACATCCAAAGGTATGTTTTAGCTTACGTGTTAAAAAATAAAATGCTTGCTGGAATAATCAACTTTGTTCATTCTTTACAATTCCCATACTAACACCCCCTAAATCAATGAAATACAAGCTATAAGAAAAAAATATTAAAATCAGTACATGAAACAAAAGAGCTCATTAGCCCAAAGGCAATGATTATTCAGGGCAAACCAGAGGGATCTGGATACTCTCAAGACATTTATCAGTCACTCAAACACAGTCATACAGAAGATGGTGATTCTGATGCTTATTGTATCAACCTCATAAAATTCTTGAAAACTCACTTCCTGAAACAAGTGCAAAGTTGTGCAATTCTGCTACTACACATTTCTGGTATGGTACATCTTTCTTGAATCTGTCCCACCCCTCCTTTCTAATTCTTACTAATTTGGGAATCTGAGGACCTTAGATATGCATATATTAGAAAACAAAGCAAATGTAACAAAATGTCCAAATGATGTTGACATACATTTGGTTTCAAGCTACAAGGCCATTCAATTAGTCTGGAGGAGACATTAATTAACAACAGCTCATCCTTAGATTTAACTGGAGGGGGATTACACTGGAGTTTACAACACTGCTCACCTTTAGGACAGAAGCTAAGCTGGTCATGTGCTCATTGAGGGCACCCTCAGATTCCTTGTAGGTCAAGCAAGTGAACTGGTACTCCTCGGGATCAAAGGCATCAGCCCCCTGCTGTTCCACATCGCTGGCTACTCCCACGTAATAGTCCTCTATGTCCCCAGGGTCTTCATCCTCTTCTTCTTCCTCTTCCTCACAATTTGGGTCATAGTCCTCTTCATTGCTGTCAGACCCCTGGCTATTCATGTCCACTGACATCTTAGCATCCAGCCAAGTTGCAGATCAGGAAAGCAGTTGCTTTTTCCCCCTCCCCCCAAAACTACCGATTTCTCAAATGCATTAGTATTTTTGTCTTCTAAGGGAGGAAAAAAAAAAAAAGTGTTACTTTTTCCCCACGACAAGTAGTAACAGAAACAGTTCAAGAATCAAAATGGGATAGTCCTGGCCCTAATCTCACTATAGCTTATTCCAACTCTGGTATCACATGAGGAATCTCACCATCATCCCCCTGGCCCAGGCCTATCAAAGGGAAATCCTTCCCTGGAGAGATAGAAGCAGCTGATAAATGGTAACTTCACATGAAAGGCCTGGCATGACAGGGCAAGGCCATCTGCTCCATGTCAGAAAGTCAAATTCCAATGAACTTGTTATTCTTCCCAAAGTCCTTAAGGGAGAAGCACATCCCCATAGCTGGCCGCCCAGAGGGGAGGCGACATAAAGGTTTAACTACCAAAGTTTAAAATTTTGTGTATCATGCCTCCATTAGTATTGATACAGACAATACATAAATAGGAACACTTCCCGCTATAATAAGTAGAAAAAGAAGACCACTGTTTCACAGACATTACTCTTAGGTGTCTGAAAGACAGGTGCATAGTTGGTAAAGAAAGAAAAACAACAACAAAAAAAAAACACATAGGTCTTCAACATCCTCCTCTACTCTGCAAAGCTGACTGAATTTTCAGGTTTAAAGAGTTCTACTGGCCGGGTGTGGTGGCTCATGCCTGTAATCCCAGCAATGTGGAAGGCCGAGG